AGGCACTGAGGACCTGAAGGAGGTCCTGTGGCGTCTGCCCAGACCCCCAGCACCCGGGGCCACGCAGATGCAGGCACTGAGGACCTGAAGGAAATGCAGGGGGGCAGCACAGCGTGCACCTGGTTGTCTGAAGGAGTGGCATCAGATGGGGAAGAGGGGCTCAGAGCCTGTCTATGAGCATCTAATTTGCTGTGTTGCTGTTATCTGGGGTGCAGTGCTCTGTGAAAAACAAGAATAATGACAGCAGATTCAGCTGTTTGAGAGACTGCTGCTCTCTACTCTGAAGTCACTGTGCCCTGCACAGCCTCTCTACCCCCAGCTTCTTCCTCCAAGCCACGATTAATCAAGAAAATTGCAATGTGAAGAAATGAAGTTCCACTTTGCTCTCAAAATATGAAAACCGTTGACAAAACTCCAACAACTCCTGGCCCGAATGCCATAAAGCATGCATTCCCCTGACCACATAAAGCTCTTCCACTTCCCATCATGGGGATGAATTCCTCTTAGAACATAAAAAAGGGGTCCCACTTTATGTAGGTTAATTGATCCCATTTTTGCATTGGGGAGATATTTAGTCATAGATACATAGGCTGAGAAATTTGCGGGACCACCCAGGAGTCTGCCAGCTGCCCCTGCACCGGCTTCAGACGGAACTTCAGCCACGGGAGGCATGAGATGCGCATGGGAGACATGTACACGGGGCAAGCTGGCCAAAGTTTTCCCTCCTGAGCAAGTGGCTTCCATGTCTCAGAGTATTCCAAACCACCATCTGCTGAAAACACACAGCCACGAGGGAGACACATTCTGGTGATTTCTCCCCAGGGGTTCCTAGTCCCTTGAAATGCTGCATCTCGGAAATGAGAGATAAAAGTCACACTGGGGAAAGGAAAAGCAGCTGGTCTGTGGCAGGTGCACTCTCCGAGAAGAGCACAGCTCCCTTAGAGCAAAACCCTACCAGGCACAGTGACTGCCCAAAACAGCGAGTTGGAGAGTGGGGGATGCTTTTAACAGCAAAAGAAAACGTTTTCCCACTGCTTTTGTCTGTGTTATTCCAAAATCTTACTGCTGACACCCTGTGCACCTGCTTCTATGGGGGTACGGACTCCGTGTCAGACAGAAACAGGACCTGGCTCTGGCTGCCTCTGGGACAAACCCCCAAATTCTGGGTTGCACCTTAGGATGGAACAGACATGTCCAAGGCCGGGTAGCGGGGTCTCAGCTTTCTGCTCCTGGCAAGCACTGCTGTGTGTGGGTGTGGGCGGCGGTGGGGACAGGAAGTTCTGTCCAGCCCAGGGGCATCTATGAGCCCTGGGCACCACCTGTGTCTGCACCTGAGTCGCTGCCACCTCTGCGCTTCCCCAGACATTGTCAGGGGATGTGGGGGATGGGATGCAGCCGCAGGCCGTCACCAATGTGTCACAATCTGTTAGGCACCTGCTTGCTCTGTGGGTGGATGTGTGGAAAAATCAGCACTCTCTCTCATTCTCAGTGCTCAGCACAGGCTGTGTGCTTCATAGTTGCTTCATTTTTATAACAACACTGTCCTGCATGGGAAGCTATGGGTGGGTGGAGCAGCCTGAGGGTGAGAGGAGCAACCTGAGCAAGGCTCCCTGCGAGCTGAGCTGTGGAGCCAGAATTTGAATGCAGGTCTGGCTGGCTTAGAACCCATGCTGACCACCCCCTCTGTGTAGAACGTGGAGGACAAAGCTCTGGTCAGGTACCTACCAGTCACCGTCCCTCAGAGCCTTCATCTGCTTCCCAATGAGACAGGCAAACAGGGGGCCTGTCCGGGCCCCGGGGAGGAAGTTTTCAGCTAAGCCTCCCAGCCAGACGTCGATGTTGTCAGGATGCTTGTACAAGTCCAGGATCTTGGCGGCCACGCTCCTGCTGGCGATGGCCATGTGCAGGTCAGCTGGGGTCTCCAGGCGCGGCAGGCCACAGAACTCCCTCCACGCATTGTAACCTGCACGGGGGAAAGGCTACAGGGTTTCTCTCCAGACCTGAACCTTTGTTCAGCCCGCCCCACTCAGGCTGTGGTCCACAAGACGGGAAGCGCAGCCTGGCAGAGTCCCGTCCCAAGCCATGGCACTGCCCGGCCATTTGCCAGGCTAGGATATTCCAGTGTGGGCGTCAGAGCTCTTCTTGCAGGGTTTGCTCATGCAGGAGCTGGAGACGGCAAGAATGCTGAGTCCACAGCGTCTAAAGGGATTCCTACGTTGCCCAGCCCGCATCAGTTCTTGCCTCTACAGAGCAGCCGAGACAGCTCCGCATCCTCCTCAGAGTTTACTCCCACAGCGACATTAGGGACACACATAGAAGCTAGCATACCTTCCCTCCTCCTGTCCATCCCTCCCTTGGGAAGGGAAGTATCTTATCTGTCTGGCCAACCATCTCCATATTGAAGACTGGAGATCTTTTCTTGCTGGGAGCCCTGTGAGTCCCCGGCCTCTCTCATCACACCTCCTCCTTGCTGACCCACACCTGAGTCGCTCCCTGCCCAGCCCCATCCGTGGTCTGGCTCTGTGGCTGCACCTTTGCCTGACACACACTCGCTCCCCTGTGCCCCTTGCTGTGCCCCCCTCCTCACATCCGCCTTCGACCCTCATCCACTCCTCTTGGTTCAGCGGTTGCCTCCTCCAGAAGCCCTCCCTCCTGCAGGCTGGGCGACCCTCACGGAGCGGCTTCTGATCAGAGTGCCGCCCAGGGCCTGTGCTGCTGTCCTTGCTCATCCGCCCCCCCCGGGCAGAGCTTTAGCTGAGACTGTGCCTGCTTCCACCCTCAGCACCCTGCCCACCACAGGCTCCCGGGGGGAAGTTCCGGACAAGCGCACACACAGCAACATGTGAGCACTGGGCCGGTTCTCCCCAGGGGCAATGAGGCTTTCAGTGGGCAGAAAGTCGGGCCTCACAGTGTCTTATGTTTAGACGAAACAGAACTAGAAGAAAGAGCCAGGCATCCTCCAGTGAATCTGGGGAGGGGCGGCCCATGTGATAAAGAGACTGTCGGAGCCAGGGAAAAACTTGGAAAAAGACGATTGGAGGAACAGGCAAAATGAAGGAGGAAAGCAGGAGCGAGATTTAAAATCTGAGCTTTTAGAAACTGCTGTCGGGTGCCGTGGAGTCTTGCTCTTAAAGGGCAGCCCCCTGATCCACGGTTGGGAGGAACAAGTGTGCGCCTCACTCCTGGGCTCCCAGGTCACCCCCCTTGGCTGGCCCCCAGGCCTGGTGCTGCTGCGTCCCCAGCAGTCCCCTGAACCCCCGTGAGAAGGGCGGCCAGCTCCTGCTGTCTGCGGTGGGCTCTGCCGCCCTGTGATCTGCAGGAACCACACTGGTTTTCTGTCTCCAGACGGGCCATCCCAGCCTCTCACCAAAGCCACCAGAAGGAGGTGCTTTGCCCCCCACAAGAGGCCCCTGTGTCTCCGACCTCAGCACCTTCAACAACATTTCCTCTTTACCATGCAGTCTGCTTTACCCAGACCATCCCAAACACACCCCACACATTTCTCAGATACAGTAAGAGGTCACCTGGAGACACTTGGTTTATACAGAAAACAGAAGCCCACTGCTTGCCACAGGGCTTGGGGAACACAGCAGAAATTTCATTAAATATTTGTTAAAAGAATGCATTCATTTTCAGATTAGTCAAAAACCAGAATGATGAGTGAATTAAAGTTCTAAAATGAGGGGAGAAAGTTTCTATATAATCAAGTTAGACCATTGTCAAACTGTTTTAAGTAGAACAAAATAATAAAAACATTTCTAATACCCGTGGGAGACGGATATTTCAATTTTAAAAAGAAAAAGCAAAGTTAGGAGTGTGTTTTCCTTTCTTATTGCTCTAAGGAGAAACACATTGGCAACTTTTTCCAGCTCTAGAGGGAAAATGTGCAAGGCCTGGGCAGGAAGTAAAGGTAGGAAGGGTGAATCAATCACATCGCAGCTCCAGGGACCACAGAGCCGGGAAGAATCAATACCAACCTCAGATGTCCCTGCCTGTGCGAGAGGCTGCAGAAACGGGAATGCAAAAAAGATTTTTGGGGAAGGTTGGACATTTTATATTCCCTGTAAAGTACAACAAAAGATTTCAGGCGTAGTGAAAATCATCATCCCAGCTTAGCTTGCTGTGACACGAGCCTTTCTCTTTTATCCAATTTAGCCTCAGATCTAACTGATCAAATCTAATGAAGCCGCTGCCACGTTTGTGGCCATTCTGGTGCAGCGATGCCTCCAGTTGCTGGAACTTAGACGTGGGAAAGTTGCCTACACTCTGTGCTTCAGCGTCTCCATCCATCTTTTAAAAAGTGATCGCAGCCCGGCCTTCGACGGTGGCACCCTCTGTGCGGCTTCTGTCTCTCTACAGAGAGCTAACACATGCAGTGGGCTTCAAACCGCAGGCCACAGGGACCCACATGTGGCAGCTCATACACTGCTGTGTCATTATGACTCCTGTGCTCACACCGAGCACTCAATCCTCCCGTGTGCTCACACCACACACTCTCACGTGTGCGACTCCAACACCCAAACGTGAGGTTGACTCTACTGTCCTGGCACTCAGGGGGGGAAGTGGGAACACACAGGTTAATTAAGAGATTCATCCAAAATTGAACTCAGGCCCAAGCCCAGGTCTTCTGATCACAAGCTGGGCTGCTTGCTGGTCTTACTCCTTGTTCCCTTCCCATGAGGTCCGTCTTTGCTTGTCAGTGTTGATTTGCCCAAACATTCATCATTCATTCTTCATTCATTCGCTCACTGAGTGAGCATTCTGTAAGTGCCTGTTCTGTGCCAGTCAGCGGTTCTGGGGGCAACCACAGCCTCACAGCCCTGAAACACAGCCCCTCCTCCCGGGCTTATGTTTTACGGGGGACCCACAGGCCAATGGGAATGTGGGCTTTTGCCTTTGGCCACATTTCAGTTGGTGAAAAGTAAAGCAGAGGAAGGTAGGGATTGTTAGAGCCAGGAGGGGGTCACCCACTCTCTGATGCCATTAGCGGGGGAAGCCAGCAGCGGGAACGTGAGGAGATCAAACTGTGGGCCTCAGCAGGGGCGGCAGCAAAGGGAGTCCCAGCCAGAGTAAAGGCGTCTGCGGGCGTGTGTGCCGGGTATGTGCTGGGTACGTGCCACGTATGTGCCAGGCGTGTGCTGGGTGTGTCCAGTGTGTGTGGGCATGTGCTGGGTATGTGCCAGGAATGTGCCAGGCATGTGCTGGGTGTGTGCTGGTGTGTGCCAGGCATGTGCTGGGCGTGTCCCGTGTGTGTGGGCGTGTGCTGGGCATGTGCTGCATATGTCCCAGGAATGTGCCAGGCATGTGCTGGGTGTGTGCTGGTGTGTGCCAGGCATGTGCTGGGTGTGTCCAGTGTGTGTGGGTGTGTGCTGGGCATGTGCTGCATATGTCCCAGGAATGTGCCAGGCATGTTCTGGGTGTGTGCTGGTGTGTGCCGGGCATGTGCTGGGTGTGTCCAGTGTGTGTGGGTGTGTGCTGGGCATGTGCTGGGTGTATGAGGGTATGTTCGAGCTGTGCTCCCTGAGTTCTGGGAACAAGGAAGCAGCTGCGTGTGGGGTGTAGGGAGCACGGGGGACTGTGTGCGTGATCCTGAAACATACGAGTGCCCCTTCTGCGTCCTCTCAACTCACGTTTAGTCCCAGATATTCACAGCCTGCGTGGGTGCTGACCCCAGCCCTTCCAGATGCCCTGCTGAGGAGGACAGGGATGGGGAACGCCCAGGGACAGGGGAGGGCCCAGGGACGGAATGAGCAGAACTTGCTGGCACTGTCCGCCTCACCTGTCACCCACACATCAGAAGGGCACCTTCCAGCTCCCAGAGTCCCTCACCTGTCACCCACACATCAGGAGGGCACCTT